TAGCGCCGGAGCCCGCCAGCCCCCTCCCACCACTTTGGAAGTTTCCAGAGCCGGCTCCTCGGCCTGCTGCGCGGTGGGCGAGCGGACGCGGAGAGACGGCTCCCTGGCTGTTCCCCTCAGTGGCCGCGGCCTGGAGAGGCGGAAACGGCTGCGGACTGTTGACTGTACTCCCGCGGCGCTCAGAGACGGCCCCGCTGGGTCCAAGTTGGCATCTGTCAGCCCCCTCCCACCACTTTGGAAGTTTCCAGAGCCGGCTCCTCGGCCTGCTGCGCGGTGGGCGAGCGGACGCGGAGAGACGGCTCCCTGGCTGTTCCCCTCAGTGGCCGCGGCCTGGAGAGGCGGAAACGGCTGCGGACTGTTGACTGTACTCCCGCGGCGCTCAGAGACGGCCCCGCTGGGTCCAAGTTGGCATCTGTCACCCCAGCCCGCGCCCCCCGAACCAGCGGGCACGCACCTCGTGGGGCCGTGGGAGAGTGGCGTTCCCGGGCGCGTGACAGACTAGGTGAGCGGCGAGACCCTCGCGCGAGTGGACGAGATGGTCCTGTGCGGGGCTTGCCCGGGACCCCCATAATCCCTGCGTGACCTCTGTTTTAAGTGCCTCGGTAGCAGTTGCCCGGCTGGGTTTTGGTTTGGTTTCTTTTTCTTGTCTCTTTTTTTCGTGTCTTTCTGCTGTTTTTTGTTTTCACTATGTAGCCCCAACTGTTCTGGAACTCGCTGTGTAAACCAGGCTGACCTTCCATTTGTAGAGATCTGCCTGCCTCTGCCTCCTGAGTGCTGAGATTAACGAAGTATGCCATTATGCGCCCCAGCTTTTTTTTTTTTTTTTTTTGAATCAGATTTTCACAGTGTATACCAGGCTGGCCTCGAACTCAGCGAGATCTTCCTGCCAAGTACTAGGATTGAAGGCGTGCTCCACTCAAGGCTTCTTTTTTTTTACTAGATTTTTTTATTTTTAATTTTATATGTGTGAGTGTGTTGCCTGTGTGAACTCCCGCGGCGCTCAGAGACGGCCCCGCCGGGTCCAAGTTGGCTTGACAGAACTAGGTGAGTGGCGAGACGACGAGTGTACTAGGTGGTCCTGTGCGGGGCTCGCCCGGACCCAGTGTTTTAAGTGCACCCGTGTTGTGCGATGCCAGTGGAGGTCAGAAGAGGGCATCGGATCCCCTGGAACAGACGTTTGTTAGCTTCCATGTGGGACCTGGGAATCGAACCCAGGTCCTCTGCAAGAGCAACTAGTACTCTTAACCGTTGAGCCATCTCCAACTCCACGGCTTGTCTTTTTAAGAATTATTTTATTTTGGTCTCCCTGTAAGATAATAATTCTCAAAAATTGTAATTTTTAAGAATTGTTTGTTTATTTTATTTTGGTCTCCCTGTAGCCCCAGCTGGCCTGGAAACCAGGCTGGCCTCGAAGTCACAGAGATCCACTTCCAGAGTGCTGGGGTTAAAGGCATGTGCTGCCCCTACCAGGCAGAGAGAGGATTTTTATAACACCCCCAACACACACACACTCACTCACTCACTCACTCACTCACTCAGTTTAGTTTCTTGCAGAAGGAAAGAACCACCCAAGCTTTGCATTGTTTATATTCAAACATACTGTGCCTAAGGGCTAGAGAAGGGTGATGAATTTCTGAAATTGGCTAGAGGTCCTGCCCTTAGAATTAGGATTCTTATGAACCGGATTAGAAGATATAGATTTTTATCTTAAAAGGGCTGGAGCTGTTCTTGAGGCCCTGGGGAGAAATCTAATAAAGTTAGTTGAGTTGTGATTCAAGAAGACTGTGAGTTTATGAAATCTGGTAAAGAACCAGTTTACTATCTACAGTGTAAGCTACTGCTATGTTTACTATATTCTAGGCTTTGCCATATTCTAGATCTTTCCAGGCATCATAATGAATTTACACCTGACATTGTGATCACTTTATCAGTACAAAACTTTCTGGGGGATGGAGGAGTGTGGGGGGGCGGGTGAGACTAGGTTTCAGTATGTAGCCTTGGCTGGCCTTGAACTTGCTGTGTAGACCAGGCTGGTTTCAAACTAACATAGATCTGCCTTACCTCTATCTTCTGAGCGCTAGAACTAACCCAACTTGTATTAAAACGTTTTTTGGTTTATTTCTTTATTTGGGGGGGTATGCATGCCTCCCCCAGGGCAGAGGACACGAAGTCTGTTCTCTCCTTCCACCGTGTATTCCAGAAATTAACTCATATGATCAGGTTTTGTCAGCGAGTGTCCTTACCTGCTGAGCCATCTCATTGGCCCTATCTGTACTACATATTTTGATGCAATGTGGCAGACACTACTCTAAGCACTTTTCATATATTAATTCTTAGTCCTCTTGATGTAGGTTCTCTGTTACTTTTTTTTTTTTAAGAGTAGAAAATAAGATGCTGAAAAATAAGTAGTTACTAAATAAGGTTAGAGCTAGTTACTGGTATGGGATTTGGTTGCACAGTTCTTGCCTCTAATATTTTGCAGTGCCTGTGCTATTCAGAATGTGCTTTTAAAAGAACAATTTTTTGGTGCCTGGCGGTGACCCTTGTCCCCAGGTTATGGAAGTATTGACTAAGACATGGTCTAAAGGATAGGAAAGGTTTTTCTCTGAGGAAGTGGAGAACTGAGGGGTGAACAGAGTTAATTTGGCCAAAGAGGAGCAGTGATGGTGAGAATCCAGCCTGTGAAGAGTGTCAGGTGACAGAAAGAAGCTTGACATGTCAAGAAACCAAGTCATTGCTAGAAAATGGTGAAGAGCTGTCAGGTGACACTGCCTGTGTCAGCAGGGGTCATGTGAAGTGGTGTTTGTATGCTGTGTAAAGACTTGGGTTCTAAACAACCCTCAGTGCTGTGTGAGGGCAGACCAAGGAGTGGAGCTCAGAAGGAGTACTTGGGCAAGAAAAGGCAGGATGTCATGAGCTAGACAACTTAGTTGTAATAAAAAGGTCTTTGAGGGCTAGGGACTGTAGTACACAGTAGTAGGACACTTGCTTAACACATTCCAGGCCCTGGGTTCAAACCCCTAACATTGTGCAACAACAGATTCATTGATAACATGAATGATAGTGTGCTTACATACGTGCTACCTATCTCCTCCCATTTCAAAATCAGTTTTCAGTTAACCATTGAGAAAAATCTTAATAAGGTTTATATTAATTTTTTTTTAAACACAACTCAAATGTAGTCCAGGCTGGTTTTAAAATCACTATGTAACTGAGGATGCCCCTGAACTTTGATTTCTTCTGCCCCCACCTTCTGAGTGTTTGGCTCGCAGTCCTATACCATCATGCCAGGATCATGTGTTGCTGCTGACTGAGCCCAGGGCAGGCAGTCTGCTGAGCTCCATCCCCAGCCCTCTGTAAAATCTTCACTTAACCAACTTGTGAATTTAGTTTTGGAGTTAGATCTTTTCCTAGTGTAGAAAGACACTAATTGTAGGATTTTTAGAACTTCTTTAAATTCTGTTTAAACTCCCAACTAGTTATTTGTACACTTGGATCTGTAATTATGGGTGTTGTTATACCTTACATAACTTCATTTTGTCTGCATATTAAAATTACCACATTGTATTTTCTTATTCTGAACTCATCATCTTCCTTGTTTGTCCTTAATAGCTTCACCATTCTGAAGTCACCTGATCCCAACTAGGTCACCTTCTACTCCTTTCTTCCTCTTGTCCTGATGGCCAGTTATTTCAAAATTCAATTGAATCTAAGTCTGTATTTTTCCCCTCCCCTTGCATACCAATATCTCTAGTTCAGGCTTCACTAGCTCTTGATTGCTGGGTTTCATGACATAAAATGTCATATGCCCATTGCAGTGAGTCCGATTTGTCACTCTCACTGTACTGTTTCCCATTGAGTAGAGAATAAAATTTAAGCTTTATTTCTGTTACTCATCAACACATCACAGAGACCACAAAGCATACTGGCTCTTAACTTCAGTAGTTGACAGGGGGTAGGAGTGTATGTGTGTTTGTATTTGTTTTGAGACCAGTCTGAACTTGCTGTGATCCTCCTGCCTCTACATCCTAAGTGTTAGAATTCCAGGGAAGCACAGCACCACCGGGTTTATTGACAGTTTTATGAATCTGGAGATTGCAAAATGTTCACCAGGCCATTTTTCTCTGGTTAATGTTGGCAACCAAAATGGCCTTGGCTGGAGAATCCACTTCTAAGGTGGCTTCTTCACTCAGTGCCTCATCAGAGGCTGCTGGAAGGCTGGAATTAGCTCTCTCTGTATAGCATGTAAGGGCTTTCTGTGTGATCTCTCCAGCAGACCATGCAGACTTGTTATCGCGTGACTTAGGGCTCCTAGAGCTGTAGGTAAATGAAGCTTCTGAGCCCTTAAAAGTTAAGCTGGAATCTGCCATAGCACTCAGTGTTGCTTGAAAGTGGCCGTCCTTGCTAAACTGTCCCCATTTATCCTTCCCCACTTAGAATCATTTATGTATGTGAGCCCATGTGCATTTGTGTGCCAGTATGTACTGGTGTATGTGTATATGCATGTGGGTGCCTCTTCTCACTGGCCTGGAGCTCATGAAATAGGTTTGGCTGGCTCGCTGGCTAGCAGGCAATTGAGCCCCAGGGATCCATGTCCCCAACACTGAGATTACAAGCATGGGCCACTATGCCTGGCATTTTGCATGGGTGCTAGAGATCAAACTCCAGCCCTCATGCTTGCATAGCAAGCACTTTATCAACTGACTTATTTCACCATTCTGGAATGATATCTTCATTGCATGAATGACTCTGTAATGTACTTGATTTATATGCATGCTTTCTTCCACTACAAGTTATTTAAGACAAGATCCATTTGGGATTTTCATACATCACAAAATCTTTAAGATATAAGCAAGCTCACACTAAATATTTGCTGAATTCTTTAATGTTTGAATTGTGGGCTGGTGAGATGGCTCGGGGGTAAAGGCACTTAGCACCAAGCTTAATGACCCAAGTTACATCCCTAGGGGCCACCTGGTAAGAGGAGAGAACTGATTCTCACAAGTTCTTTTTCCTCCATGTGTGCACTGTGGCATGTGCACGCACACATACACAAACACACGTAAAAGAGACATAATAAAATATTTTAAACTTAATTGATAGTATAAATACCAACTTAGGCCGAGTGTGGCAGGCGGATCTCTGAATTCAGGGCCAGCCTGGTCTCCATAGCAAATCCAGGCCAGCTGGGTCTACAGGGAGACCCTGTCTCAAAAAAAGACCAAAAACAAAAACAACAAAACCAATTTAGTGTAGAAAAATTAGAAAATATGTGGAAGGGAAAAATATAGTACCATTAACCCTTTTTTGTGTTGATTTAATGTTGCTTTTGAGCTTTAAACTACTGTAAGCTTACACAGGATTTATATGCAAAAATGATTAATATGCAGGATTAGTGTTTGAATAAAAAGCAATAATCATTTCTAGATACTTAAAAACATGAAAGAGGTGTGGTGGGGCCTGGCATGACGTGAGCACACCAGCTTCTCTTTGCTTTTGCCC